GTTAGAACACATCTAACATGTATCACCTCAGATCCAATTCATCTCGGGTGTACCCTTAGTTGGTCACCTCGGACCAACTTACCTCGGAATTCACCTTTTACTGTGATCTCGGCCAACGGGCACTTTGTAGAATTTCTTTGAATAACATTCAACAAGTATTGCTTCATTTACTTGTACTTGTTGTCTTTTTTCAAGACTTCACCCTTCCAACATTCCCAGGTTTGACGACCTAGTTAGTGATCTCGGGTAACCAACAACTCAAGTGTCCCCTCATCTAGATACCTCGGCTAACTCTAACTTGTAAATTTTTTCAAAAATTTCAACAAGCGTCAAGCCTATTCCTGTTTCCTTCATTTGGATACCTCGGCTGACTCCAACTTGTAAATTTGAACAAGTGCCAAGCCTATTCCTTATTCCTTCTTCCTACTCCCTAATATGAACCTAAGTATCACTTATGTTTACATTAGGCATGCATCTTCAATTTCGCCGAAGTTTGATTCAAACAAAGACTAGCCGAGGTGTTCAACCTTGGTTTCTCTAAAGCAAATATAGTTCCATTTCGAGTTTTAACTCTGCCAACATGGCAAGTCTAGGTGAATTCAACTTAGTTCAACTCTATTATATGCAAGTATAATTCAACTCTACCATATAATAAGTCTAAGTTACTTGCATGTTTCATTCAGAAACATGGCCAACTTAGTTCAACTTTATTATATGCAAGTATAATTCAACTCTGCCATATAATAAGTCTAAGTTACTCGTCATGTTTCATTCAGAAACATCGCCAACTTAGTTCAACTCTATTATATGCAAGTATAATTCAACTCTGCTACATAATAAGTCTAAGTTACTCGTCATGTTTCATTTCAGAAACATCGCTAACTTAGTTCAACTCTATTATATGCAAGTATAATTCAACTCTGTCATATAATAAGTCTAAGTTACTCATCATGTTTCATTCGGAAACATCGTCATAGGACTGGTCGGCCCTATCGCACAAATTTCAAATTCATAAAAATCAAACTAGTACTTTTATTATTACTTCAGCTGATATGCCCCATTGCCGGCAATCGAGATAATTCTATTTGGGCCAAGTTTGCCCTCCCTATGATCCTTTTTATTGCCGACAACCTTTCTCAGGATGAGGTCTCCAACCTTGAACTCTCTTTCTTGTTGCAAGCCCTAGCAAGCTGTTGCCAGTATGCCCCTAGTTAAATTGCTGCTCTCTCGCACGTTACAGGTGGATTTCAACAACATTTTCACGCTTTTTTACATAGGCTTCGGCTTCCTTTTGCATGTAGGGCCACCAGAATCCTTGCGATATAGCTTTGTGGGCAAGGGATCTGCCCCCTGCATGACTTCCACATACTCCTTTGTGGACCTTGTATAAAAAGTCTTCAACCTGGCCGACTTCAGTCTGATCTTGTATGCTTCCTTTTTGTCTACTGGGATCTGGGATTTGCATACTTAGATTGAGTTCTTCTCTTCTCGGATTTAATCATCTAGGTCGAGATCTTGGAATCTGGGATCTGCTCAATTAGGCTGAGCTCTTCTCTTCTCGGACTTAATCATCTAGGCCGAGATTTTGCTTTCTAGAGTCTGGGATCTGCTCACTTAGGCTAAGCTCTCGTCTTCTCGAATCTAATCATCTAGGCCGAGATCTTATCTTCTTGAATCTAGGATCTGCTCACTCAGGCTGAGCTTTTCTCTTCTCGGATCTAGGTCCAGATCTTGTCTTCTAGAATCTGGGATTTGCTCACTCAGACTGAGCTCTTCTCTTCTCGGACCTAATCATCTAGGCCGAAATCTTGTCTTCTAGAATCTGGGATCCGGGATTTCAGATTTGGAATTCGGGAGCTACTCACTTAGGCTGAGCTCTTGTCTTCTCGGACCTAATCATCTAGGTCGAGATCTTGTCTTCTAGGATCTGCGATCCAGGATCTGGAATCGGGGATCTGCTCACTTAGGCTGAGCTCTTGTCTTCTCGGACCTACTCATCTAGGCCGAGATCTTGTCTTCTAGGATCTAGGATCCAGGATCTGGAAGCCGGGATCTGCTCATTTAGGCTGAGCTCTTGTTTTCTAGGCACCAGTTTTGGTTGCTGGTGCCGGCATGTCTTGTAATAGGGATGTCGGCTGCATCATGTTGTTCTGTATCATGAGGTTGACCACTGTTTGTAGATCTGTCAACTTATTTGCCATGTCTTTTAGTTTTCTCGTCTTTTCTCCGGCATCTGTCTCTCCATACCTGAAGGTTGCTTCTATGGTAGTACTTATCTCGAACTGCTTTCTTCGGTGCGTCTCCCTTTTGGCCGACGTCATTCTCTCCAGGATTCTGATCCTGTGCTCCTTCATTACGGTTTTCTTTTTCTACGTTTAGATTGGCAAGTTTACCACTCCCACTAGGGATGTCGTCCCCAATCTTTTCTCCCTGCTCGTTGTTGGCTATCTATTTTTCTTAAGTTCCCACAGACGACACCAAATTGTGGGTGTTAATTTCTGACCACACAACCAAAAGGGAAACTCAGCTGGAGAGCACCGACAGAATAGATTAAGCCCAAACAACCTGTCACAGAAAGATAAGAATCCCGCGGTGGTTTGTCCACCTGGAGGCACTCCAACGATCAAGTCAGTAAAATATCTCTCAAAGATAATCAATGGTGCTTAACTCACTAGACAGAGGGTGCCTTACTTTTATAAGGATCGGTGTCCAACTTCCCTTAGAAATCTTACTTCATGGGATTCTATCCTTACAAGGATAACTTCTATCACAACTCACATTATTCAGATTAAGATGAACTCCCTCAAAAGTCTCATCCCTATCCAAATAGGTAGCTTGATGTCATCTAGGACTCTAGTCCTCTATCCAAATATCTCAGATTCTGATATCCCCGCAGAATACCTCGGCAGTGCCCCAAACATCTCGACAAACATGATCTACCCACGTGGCACCTTGGCTAACAACCTTGATCACGTGGACTATCCAAAAAATATGTCCCCACAATTATGTTTACATTCTTTAGCTGGAAAGCTAATAAGGTTTTCTCTTTATTTTGCCAACCCATAAATTTTTAGCAGAAAATCACTACAAGAATTTATACATTTGGCGACCACTTTTGCCAACCAAAAAAATTTTGGTCGCAAAAAAATGACATTTGGCGACCAAATATTAATTAGTCGTGAATGATCATTATTTTTGGCGACCAAATATTATTGGTCGATATTAATTTTACATACTATTTTTCATATATATAATTTCAAAATCATATTCATGTAGATTATTGAATTTTTTTTGGGAAAATTTTACATAGCGATTTAGCTATTATAAAAAATGTAATTAAAGCTCATTTAGCTATTATCAATAGTATATTAATTTTACATAGCGATTTTTCATTTTTTCATAGCGAATTGTTTCAAGTTAAATGAGCTTTAATTACATTTTTTATAATAGCTAAATCGCTATGTAAAATTTTCCCAAAAAAAATTCAATAATCTACATGAATATGATTTTGAAATTATATATATGAAAAATAGTATGTAAAATTAATATATGAGAAGAGGTTTTTTTTCATATTATGTAAAATTTATGAATTACACATTCTAAACAAAAACAAAAGAAAAAAAAAAACATATTTTAACATGATAATTGCTTTATGTTTTTTTCTTTTGTTTTATCTTGAAAATAGCGTTTTATTCCAACAAAGTTTATGTTAAAAAAAAATTTTCTGTTAAAATCGCTATTACGAATAGCGTTTTTTTGGACAAAATTTGAACTGAAATCGCTATTATGAATAGCGTTTTTTCTGCAAAAAAAATTATGTTAAAATCGCTACTATAAACAGCGTTTTTTGGGAAATTTGTTTTTGTTAAAATCGCTATTGATAATAGCGTTTTTTTGCAACAAAAATTTGTGTGAAAAGCGCTGTTAAGAACAGCGTTTTTTATTGGGAAAAAGAATAACCCTAGAAGCGCTATTTGTAATAGCGACTTATTAATCAAAGTCGCTATTTGTAATAGCGATTTTACTGTTCACCTACTTTTACGCTCCTAACAGTGAAAGCGCGAATAGTAATAGCGTTTTAACTTAGTTTTGGAATTCCGTCAGAAGTTGGCCTAGTTTTGGAAATACAATACAAAAATGGCTTATATTGGGAAATGGCCCAAACAAATTTTCTTATTTCACATGTCACATCAAACTTTCAAAACTCAATTTAACACTCTATTAAAAAATCATAACCAAACAAATTTTCTGCACTCAAATCATAATTCCACAACTCACAAACTCAAAATACAACTCATACTCTCAAATCATATTTACAAAACTCTACCAAATGCAACCCTAATTTTCTTTGTATTCTTTGTTTGACTCTAATTTATGTATTTAGCTTGCATTAGTTTTTTTGTGTTTGGCATCTTATATATTTTGAAATTCTATATGTTATTCTCCAATAGTTAATAGAGAAGGAAAGAAAAAAGAAACATTTTTTTTTCTTCATAAATTCATTTATTTTATTTTTTCACAAATTTAATATTTTAATATGATCAAAGTAATTCTTTTCCAACATTAAAATATAATTCTAGTATTGTCCGATACGGCTTAACTCAAATTAGAAGTTTGTTCATTTAAACTCTAACTAAAGAGGCACCTCCTCAATAGAGATGCCATGCAACTTCTTATAAATCCATCATGAATATCATCCATAACCAATGTGAGATGCCAACATCCTCACCTCAGTCCAAACACTACCATAATTTTGATACCATATTATATGCATAATCAAGCACCTAAAAGTATTGTTCATATAATCAAACCCAATAATTAGTTTCACGGGTTTGTCCTTTAGAGTTCTAACTCGAAAGGCACTTTTGTCTTATTAACATTTTAAAAGTTCATCTTAAATATGATTCACAATCCATTCCATGTGGATGCCAACTAGACTATTGACAAATTTATGCAAAAATAAATAAATTTTTTGCAAAAAAAAAAAAGTTACACCAGCATTAAAAATGCAATTATTAAAATTAACATTATCATGGAATCATTTCTGTATTTCACATAGTTTGCAGGAAACACATATATTTATGCGTCTCTTCGATAAAAAAAAAAAAAGAAGCAAATTTCAAGCATAACACAACATGTATATATAAGAACACAAGTGGAAATTATAAATTACAACTGAGAAAAAAAGGCACAACTTTTCCAATTCAATCAAATTTTGTAATCAACCCATCATGGTTTGGTTCATAGGTGCCACCATTGCAACCTGCGGCTGCTGTTGCTGCCTAGCCACGTTTCCAAGCCATCCTATAAAAACAAAACATAATATTCAAATCAAACTTTTTGCTTGTTAGTAATCATTCATTTAGGAACAGGGTTCACTATAAAAAGAAAATGAAAAAGCAATACCATATATTTAGAATTCTATTTAAAAATATCAATGTATGTATATAAATTCCACAATATATCTTTTAAATCTCTTAACCACAATTTCAATTGCATGGTAGTATTCTTGTCATGTTTTATCGGTATAATTTCTCTTGCAACAATATTACATACCACAAATTTTTTTCATAAAAATCATCTCGAACTTTTCCAATCCATCCTAAGCTTTTTTGGTCGTCTGACAATAGCTTCGAGTTGTCTTCATGATACATTTTTTCATTGTCTCTAGCAATTTCATTTCTCTTAATGAGCTCAAATAAATTTTTTGTATCAAATTTCAGGTCAAACAAGGTTACTAAACATGTTCACTAAGATTACCTCTTTATTATATGGTTATAATGACATGATTTATTATTAAAATTCAGAATGAGATAACAATTATAAACAATTCATTTTAGATTTTTAATAAATGGAGAATATGTAAATTTTTTATTTTCTGATTTTTAAAAATTATTTATAAAAAAAAATAATATGACTTACCAATAGAAGGGTCCAAACCCCTATGCTGAAGCTCCCTATATTCTTGACAAAGAGCACAATGCTCACAGAAGAAGTGAGTTATCCAGTCCGGAGCCGGCGACTCCACCAGCCCATATCGGCTTCTCAGCTTACTCCGGTAGCCGCATGATATCAGACATGGCATTCCGATGACGCAAGCAATCAATCCATACAACATCCCACTTGTCGCACATGCTATATATACACAAACAACAACAAAAATACTCCATTAAAAAATGCTTGGTAATTTGAATTTGTATAATTAGAACGGCTCAAGTATATCAAAATGATTTTTTTTACTTCCAAAACGATATCATTTTGAGATATTCGAGGCTATGAAAATTCGAATTATCAAACATTGTTGTACCTCATTATTAGACAAAGAAAAAGATTGAAATTTTAGAAATATTTTTTATTTCGCATATATATATATTTTTATTCACGTAATATAATTGTAAGACAAATTTAAAATTTATATATAATATACTATTCTTCATTTTTCTCATATCAAATATGTCTTTTTTTAATAATTAACAGCTGGCTTTAGTCGTTTAAAAAAAAAAATCCCTCTCTTTCATGAATTAAAGTATGAGTCATCTTGATTTTTTAATTATATTAATTTGATTCCTACTCATCCTTATCCAATTTGAATTTAAATGATTCGTTCTTCAAATTTTATAATGAAAACAAATGTTTTTTTTTTTTTTGGTTGGGAATTTGTGTTAAAGCTATTTAAACACAAATTGACTAAATTGATAACTAATAAATTAACACAATTAAACTATTAAAAATTAAAATGAAACAAAAAGTGCATATAGCCCCATGATATATTTAACCCTATAAATAAATAGGGAGGATTGGAGGGCATTGTTCAGACCTATGGCACCTATTACGGGTCTTATTCTGATGATCTAAATTATTCATTTTGTTAAATAATGTGTATAGATCTTTTTTTTTTTTAAAAAAAAAAAAGATTAATCTGATGATTATAATAACATGATTTTATCATATTTGTCTTTGAAAAAAATATATAACCTATTTTCACAATTATATTGCGGAAAGATAAAAATTAACCCATGTAAAGTGGGGTCACCAGATGCTCACATGGAATAAGAATTTACTAATGATTTATGTAACTTGCCAACTTGCTTTGATATACATGCATCGGATGAGTTTTGAGCTATACATGTAACTTATTTTCATTGGATAAAATTGGTGGCATATTAACCTATATAAAGGGATGTAATTTTCAACTCCAATGAGGTATCCCAAAACCATTCTTTTTTACTTATTTAGTTTCATTTAGATACATGTTATTTAACTTGATCGTCGAATACTCTCCGGCTAGCAACCACTGATCGGGAGGCATTAACTGTTTATTTTTTTTACAGATTTGAAACGGTGTGACTCATCACTTCGTTGATTTCTCGATTAATATATGTGGGACAATTTTAATTTCCACATATATAAATCATCTATTTTTATGAGACAAAGTAATAAAATTATGTGACTATAACTATTACCTTACTAAAAAGCACAAAACATAGTGTAACACTGGTTATTTTGTCATTAACATTAACTTGGGACTAATTGGATCACAAGATAAAATGTAGGACCAAATGGGTCATAAGATAAAGATTTGAGATTTATTGGTGAATGGCCCTAATTTTAATTTTAATTTAAAATTAAAATTAAGTATGATTTTAATTATTTATTTTGATAATATTGGTGCTATCATTTTATAAAATTATTACTTGAATACTTATATATATTAATTTTAATTAAATTATTTGCGTATTTTGATAATTTTAATTCTATCGTATCATAAAAGTATAATTATCATATAATAATTTTGTATGATATATATTAAATTATAAAATAGTAAAATAAATACCCATTTTGATATTAAAAATAATAGTTAAATTAGAAAAGAATTAGTAACATAAAATTATAACTATTAATTTTCTTTAATATTCATTTGGAAAATAAAAATATGTAGAAATAGATATTATATAAAATTTATTAAAAAAATTAAATATAAATATGTTATAGTTAGATTATCATATAATAATTTTATATGATATATATATATATATATTAAATCATAAGATTGTAAAATAAACACTGTTAATTAAATAAAAAAATCAACTATATAAAAGAAGTTCAACGACGACTAATTAAGAAAGAATCACATAACATCTAAACCCAAAAGAAAAAAATAATGAAAATATCCAAACTATAAATACATCTCAACATATGAAGTAATTAATCATTTGTAATATGATGTTAAAACATAAAAGAACTTACTGTTCAATAACTAAAAAAGTAATTCAATCAGTGAATTCAAATTTAAAGGTTGCTCAAGAGTATCATTATTGTGATTCTATAAAATAATGTAGGAAATGAAGTATAATTTCATATATAGAATCACTATAAAATTTAAATAACAAATCCATAATATAGAATTGATATTGGGTATAAAATAATACACAGGAAAATAAGAAGAAAAAAAAAAAGTAATTTAGCATTAAAAAAAATCTTAATACCCTTGAAAGAATTATGAAGAAAAATGTAAAATGTAAAATTAGTATTGAGTTTGTGGATTATCTCAATTTATTATAAAAAATATAAATTAAAAAAAAAAGAAATATTTATCAAATAAAGTTCATATAAAATAGGTAAAATTAGTATAATTTAAATTTAAAATTTATATATAATATACTATTCTTCATTTTTCTCATATCAAATATGTCTTTTTATCATAATTAATAGCTGGCTTTAGTCGATTAAAAAAAAAATCCCTCTCTTTCATGAATTAAAGTATGAGTCATATATTTATCAAATAAAGTTCATATGAAATAGGTAAAATTAGTATAATTTAAATTAGATTTGAATTTGTGTAGAATTCTATATATAATTAAAAAAATACATACTAACGTAGTTATCTTAGAAAAAATTAAGTCCTCATAATGTTCCATTTAAGTATGGAATATGTACATGATAAGCAAATATTTGGACTTACAGGTGTGGCCATTGTCAATGATTTCTGCGATCTGCCCGAACGTTAAGCATGGGAAGCACACTGTCATAATTGCTGAAAATCATAGGAAAAATCACTATGTTAGTAGAATTTTTAAAAATTGATTACATAGTCATAAAAAAATTATAATTTTATTTTTTAATATTTACAAAATTTATTATTAATTTAAAAATATTTTTCTAAACATATACTGAAATTTTCTTTAAAACATACATACATACATAACAACCAATTGCTTTTTAGTTCCACCTTGTTTCATACATTGTTGTTCATCATCCTTGTAGAAAAGCACAAACGTGCTAAAAAAAACAAGGGGAAAATAACTTCTCCGTGGAATTAGGGAAAAAAAATTATCAAAAGGTGATAAACATTACAAATACAGTATTAATAATTAAAATTAAATTTTTTTTATTATTAATGTGTTATAATTTTTGAAGATTTGTACTGATTGGGAATTTCTTCTAAAAAATAAAACAACTAAAAAATTAATTATGAATCGCATTTTGATGATTGTATTCTTCCATCTAGTTGGAGTTCAATTCAATCTACTACTCTCAGATGTGAACACCTTGTGTTTAGTTCGTGATTTAAATAATTATCAAAATACAGTATTAATCATATGATTATATATCAATTGATATCAGATAAGTCAATCCACCGATATCAAAAGTCTAAATTCCAATCTCTTCATGTTAGTGATTCCAATTGAATGATGTTGTTGGCCCTCCGTGAGCCCACCACGAATCTCGCATCGATAATTCAAACTATTTATTCATATTCCAAAAGATCATTCATACACAAAGTAATGTTTATGGAATAACAGTAATCATATATACGATTGGATAACTGGCCTCTTTTTAAAATCATATTTGTCATATTTATATTTTGTTTTGCCTTAATGAGCGCAAAAAATTTTGATGTATGACAATGCACTACTTTAAAATCTTACTAACAATGCTACTAAAAGTATTTATATCTAAATATCGTTGGAGATTACCACCAGGGTTGGTGGCCTGGCGGAGGATGCGGCCCATTCCCCAGCCGAGGAACCAGGGTCGATTCCTGGGAGCGGCATTTGAGATCACTCCCTGTGAGCAATGTCTTTACTCTCCTCGGTCCCTGGCCTCTGCTGCGGCGTGAGGTTTGCCCTCCATTGGTGCCCTGGTGGTGGATCCCTCACTTGGTGGGGGTTAATTCCTAACTGGCAACCGGTTATCCCGGAGTTACGGCCCAACATTGGTGCCCTGGTGGTGGATCCCTCACTTGGTGGGGGTTAATTCCTAACTGGCAACCGGTTATTCCGGAGTTAGGGCCCAACGGGGCTGTAATGACACAGAGCCCTTTTTTTATAGTTCAAAATATATATATATATATCGTTGGAGATTCAAATATATATATATATATATATATTTTTGACAACTAATTACATTTGATCATTTGTAATTTTAGTAAAATTGTTAGTATGTGTAGAATTATTCGTATCTGGAACGACTATATATTTGTCCTGAAACATGGAGAGAGAGAAAGAGAGAGATTTGTCACCATTTAAAGGATCATCCATGCAATCAAACAGCCCAGTCTTCCAACCCTCAGTCCCAACCTGTGGAATTGGATATTGATTCACCGGAAACCCAGACGCGACGCCATTCATCTGAACCGTTGGTTTCATCGGCGAAGGCGGCATGACATTGTAAGCCATCTGTGCTCCCATCTGCTGCTGCTGCGCCTGCTGCTGAAATTGCACTTGCTGTTGAGGTTGGTGGTAGGTGGCCTGATAATCATGGCGGAGACAGAATTTTAATTCAGGAAAAGCAAATACTAGGACAAATTATTAGGTCGGCTCAATTTGGAATGCGAATTTTAGTTTGATTTAAATTTTACTTTATTTCTTATTTTTCAATGTCTTATTTTAAGTATAGTTTTAATTTGATTCTTTCATATAAATTACTAGCAAATTGTGTGTGTGTATTTTAGAAGATAGACACGTGTCACAAAATTGTTAATTTAAAGATTCAATTTAAACGGAATAATTAAATTAAAATTAGATTTAAAGTGTAATAAACAAATTGTTTAAATTAAAAAAATAAGAGCAAAATAAAAATTAGGTCAAATTATAGGAGTTAGAATTGTAATTTATTAAAAAAAAAAAGGATATTGATATTTCAAAACTATTCTAATATCATACATATTATTTATTATTAAAAAAAAACCATCTTAATATTAAAATTTATAAACTCTAAAGTAATATAATATGGAAGAAAATAAATTTGCAATTAAATACACGAAAATATTTTCTTAAATTTATTTGTGAATTAAATAAGAGTCTATCTTTGTAAATCTTTTAATTTCCGTGGGTTAAGTTTTTTGGAAGAAAAATATAAAAACTTTAAGAATATCCCGGTTCAAAATCTGGATTTGGATTTTGAATTGTTTATTTTGTTGGGCACTTCATGTATTTTATTTATAAAAAAAATTAAGTAGATCCGATAAATATAACTTGTTCAATTTATCATATTTTTTACTAAAAAATGAACAATAGTTACGTTTTAAAAAAATGAATCATACATTGTTTTATAACAAAAATAATAAATTAAATAAGTTCGAGTTATCAAATCAATCTAATTTTATTTTGAATAAAATACATAAAATACCCGATAAAATAAATAGTTTGAACAATCAAAACAGGAGCCGGGATAAGTTTTTTAGATCCAAACAACTTCTTCCAATCCGGATTTTGAACCGGAGGAATCCTCCTCCTTTATGTATGTATATATATATATATAAATAATCAAAATTAAATGACAGCGCCCCTCCAGGTCCTTTACTAGCTCCGTCCCTACCTGAGAAGGTGGTGGAGGGAATTGCACAGGCTCAGAAGCCTGGTGGTAAGTAGCCTGAGAAGGAGGCGGCGGTGGTGGAAATTGCACGGGCTCAGAAGCAGAAGCCTGGTGGTAAGCCGTCTGAGAAGACGGTGGTGGTGGTGGTGGAAACTGCACTGGCTCCCCTTGAGGTGGGTAGTTTCTTGGCGGAGTTCGCGGTGCAACCATTTGTGGGTTTTTAGGTGGATATGACGGAGGCTGACTCCCATTATTTGCTTGTGGGAATTGAGGTGGGAATCGAACAGGCTGAGCCGCCGCTTGTGGTGGCTGAGGCTGAGACGGTGGTGGTGATGGTGGTGGAGGCTGGAAGTGTTGTTGGTTTTGGTTGTTGTTAGTTACATTTGGGTCTGATGAGCCGCCGTGTTCGTGGTGGTGGTGGTGGTGGTTTTCATCGGTGTAAGCCTCAAAGGGTGGTGGTGGAGGAATATCATCAGTGGCTTGTTGATCATAGTGATACTCTTGAGGCTGTGGTGGTGATGGGTTAGATGGTGGTTGGGACTGTGGTGATGGGTCTCCTTGGGTACGCCCCATTTGCTATGCTCTCTTTGCCTAGTTTTCGAGAGAGAGAGAGAAAAAAGAGAGAGGGGGAGATGGAGATGGAGATGGAGATGGTGATGGTTAGGAAAGCAAGCAAGAATTATATAAGGACAAATAGAATAGAATTTTAGTGGGAGAAACATGGCAAGTCATTGACCTCAAAAACAAGAGAAGAATGATAGAGAGAGAGAGAGCACACAAAAATCCATACGGTTTTCTTTTCCCTTTGCATTGTTGGTAGCTATTCTTTACACACTAGTTGGCTATAGTCTACAATTTTGTGTACTGAAATCAAGTATTAAGGGGTTATTTGGAATAACCTAAATAAGTATATTTTTTGTCTTTTTATGAAAAGATGTGTAGAAAAGTAGAGAGGTAATGTGATGGAAAAAAGATAAAAAGATGGATTATTTGAGACTTCCCAAACTTGGCCTAAGTATGGGTGACTATTTAGTATTGTGAGAATATGTATACATTGTTTTATAACGTTTTGATTAGTAAATAGGGGTAGAAACTCACAATTTATGTTGGAGATGGAGAAACAATATGGGACTAAGTAAATAATGATTAGTTTGGAATATGATCATGTGATGTTTCAAAATTATTGAATAATTTTCCTTCAAGTATATATAAAATATTGGTTCAAAAAAAAAAACTAGATATAAAATATAAGGTTTTATTTGGTAATACTTACGTTTTCAGTTTTCTGCTTATATTTACAAAATTTAAAAAACTCAAATAAAAATTTATTTGGTAAATTTTTTGATTTATAAATCAGAGGTCTCAGTTCATAAATTTGGTCAAAAAATAAAAATACAAAAAATGTGTTTCCGTTTTGAGTTTTTTTTTTGTACCACCCAACACTAGCCACCACCCGTCACCATTTTCCACCACTGTCTTCTGCCACCGCCACCACAACTTTCCACCACCGTCTTCTGCCACCGCCACCACCCACTACCACCATCTTCCGCCACTACCACCCGCCACCACTTTCCACCACCTTTTTCAGCTGCCACCACCTGCCACCATTTTCCACCACTGTCTTTCGCCGCCACCACCCTCCACCATCATCTTCCACCGTCACCACCCGTCACCTGCTACCACTTTCCACCACCGTCTTCCACCAGCACCACCCACCACCCGCTGCCTGCCACCATCTAACACCACTTTCTACCACCGTCTTCCGCTGCCACCACTTTCCACCATTTCTTCCGCCACCACCACCTGCCACCACTTTCTACCATCGTCTTCCACAACCACCCTCCATCACTGTCTTTTGCCGCCACCACCCACCACCTGCCGCTATTATCCATCACCCGCCACCCGCCATCATCGTCTTCCGTCACCACCCCCCGCCACCACCCACCACTACCGCCTTCCGTTGCCACCCACCCGCCACCATCGTTTTCCGCTGCCACCATCCGCCACCACTCGTCACCACCCACCACCCGCCACGCCACCACTTGTCATTTCTCACTCTTTTAGTTTATATTTTTTAAAATTTTCAAACATTTTGTCCAAACCAAACGCGTTTGTAGTTTATGTTTTTCTAAAAATAAACAAAAACCAGTTTATAAAATTTTTGTAAATATAAACTGAAAACGTAAGTGTTACCAAACCCGCCCCCCTTTTCCCCCACCGTTTTCCGCCACCACCCCCTGCCACCACCACTCGCCACCCACCCACCACACCCACCCGCCACCACCAGCTACCCACCACTCACCGTCACCACTTTCCACCACCGTCTTCCGCTGCCACTTGCCACCACTTGCCATTTCTCACTCTTTTTTATATTTTTAATTTTTTTTAAATATTTTGTCAATTACCAAACGCGTTTGTAGTTTATGTTTTTCTAAAAATAAACAAAAACTAGTTTATAAAAATTTTGTAAATATAAACTGAAAACGTAAACGTTACCAAACACATCAATAAATGAATAATTTTTTTTCAAAAATGAATCTCATTAATATATTTTGTAAAATTTAATTTATTTTATGTATTTAATAAGATTGATGGGATAATGAGAATAATTTAGTTGAGTGGGAAAAAAAATGGCCGACCAGTTCATCGAAAATGCGAAGAAGGAAATCACTATGAAACTTCTTGCCCATGACTCAATGAAGTGATTATCATTCTTAAAATTAAGTGCACAATTAAACTATTATATAAATTGACAATAAGAAAAAGTATTTGCCACACACACAGCTGATCACATGGCACTGAATTTAAATTTATATTATATATTTAAATTTTAACAACTAACGTTTGGGGACTTACCTTTTTAGTCAAAAAGTCAAAAAATTACATTTTTAGTCAAAAAGCTAACAACTCATACCAAAAAGTCAAAGATTTTCTTTTCTCTCTACTTTTTGCACATCTTTTCGTAATTAGCCAAAAAGTCATCCCAAACATATAAGTTTTTTTTACCTACTTTTTTAGCTAAATAACCAAAAAGTTACTAAATTAGCCTGTTCCCAAACGAGGCCTAAGGGAAGAGTTTGTCTCCTATAGTTAAAATAGATTGATCTATTCATTCAAGTATTTTGGGCGAGCATAACCTCATTTTGATTATTTGCACCGTTCACCTTCTTGCCACCCTTACACAACAACAAAACAGATTCTGCGACTAATTTTGCCGACTAAACTAAATTTAGTCGCCAAAGGGGTACACATTAGCTACTAAAAATTTGTTGGTCGCCAATGGTTCACACATAAGCTACCAAACAATATTTGGTCGCCAAATGGTCACTTATTAGCTACTAAACTTTTTTGGTCGGTAAAAGTCCGCTATTTCGCTACTAAAATAATCTGTAGTCGGAATTGTCTTCACTTTTGGCGACTAACTACATGTTAGTCGTTGAAAATATAATTTTCGGCGACTAAATATGATGTTCGTCGCGAATTGCAGTCTTTTGGCTATTATAATTTTTTTAATTCATATTTATTTAATTTTTGGCTACTAATTGTGTGTTAGTCATGGAAATGATTGGGTTTTGGCAACTATTTCAATTTTGGTCGCTAATGATTAATTATATACCGACTATAATTCAGTAGTCATACGTGCCACAAAATTTTGGAGGGAATATTAGATTTTTCTTAAATTTATTAGTGACGAAAATTAATTTTGGTCGGTAATAAATATTTGTTTGTTTTATTTTTATTGCAAAAGCAGTCCATTTCCCTCTCTCTCGCACTCCCGCCTCTGATTCTGCTCCGTCTCCATCGCCATCACTGCAAGGCTTACTGGATCATCCCCCGAACTCCTTCCCAGGTATGTCTTCCATGTCGCCTCTCTCTCTCTCTCTCTCTCTCTCTCTCTCTCTATCTCTCTGTATCTCCCTCTCGAATTTTGCCTCCTTCTCATAGAGGCCTCTTGGTTTCCCTCTTTCTCTCTCTCGCTGTTTACACACACACACATACATGCACACACACAAATCATATATACACAACCTTGATTCCATATATACTCGATTATACACTGGTACACTCACGCATTTGTCACTAGGTCTCACTCACGCCTCTGCCCTCTTCTCTACAGCTTTGTCTCCATCGCCATCATCGCAAGGCTTGCTGGATTATCCCCTGAACTCCCTTCCAGGTATGTCCTCCATTTCGCATCTGTCTCTCTCTCTCTCTCTCTCTGTATCTCCCTCTCAATTTCTCTCTCTTTCTCTCTGTCTCTGTTTACACACGCACACACACACACATAATCATATAGGAAATGCTGAAAATTAGGGCATTGTTATTGAAATGTGATTGAAATTAAAACTTAGGGCAATGCTTGGGGTGAATCAAGCAATTTGCTACAAAAACTAGGGCAATGTCTTGTAGTAGTAGTATGTATGAAGTGTCATTGATCTTTTAGATTGCAGAGAGAATTTGATTCTGGTTGTCAAAATATTCTTAACTTGATTACTGTTGTGAAAATATTCTATTTTCTTTTTAATATTTGTAAGTTTGAAGAAGAAGTTTAGATAAATTTTCATAGTAAATAGCCATTGATCTTTTAGATTGCAGAGAGAATTTCTCAAAAATCAAATTCATTTATCTAATTCATGATCTAAACAAAGTCTAAATGAATGGAAAAGAGAAAGAGAGAGAGAGAGAATGGAAGCAGAAACACGAAGAGGGGGAAGAAGCCAAAGAGATGGGATTATTGGAAGAGAGAAGAGAACAAAATGATGGGGTAGGGTGGGTGGTGGTGTTGTTGAGTGTGTTCTCCTTGGAAATGGGTCATTTTCTTTGAAAGAGACATTTGTAAATTGTTGTAAACTCACTAACTCAATGTCCTACTACTGCTGACACAATGGGCAATAGTGTCAGTATGTGAATCCATGTGAACCCATTGCCACCCTCCCTTCCATTCCCTTCCTGTGTTTTCTCTTTCAACAAAGATTATGATGCAAGGCATCAATGGATCTCTCTCTCTCTCTCTCTCTCTCTGTGTGTTCTTGAATTTATTTATGGTTATAGGTCTCAACTGTCCATAAATTGAGTATATCCTGAAACATCTCATCAAAGTATGTTCTTTGTTTTTCATAACAGACGAAGAAGAACAATAGCATCAGGCAAGGTTGCACAGAACATGCAACTATGGAGTAGTACTTTAAATTTTTAGAGAGCTCAATGTAATTTATCCTAACTTTGTTTTGGATTAATTGAAGGTTCAAGGTTGGTTAACTTATTCCTTCTGTCCCGTATTCACATAAGAATTAGATAAATGATGTGATCCATTCCTTGTTCTTCTGGCTTGAGAGTGCAATAATCAACCATTATTTCAGTACTTTTTTTGGAGTTTGCATTTGGTGCATTGTTTTGTGTGTTAATTTTAATAAATACCATCCTTAATATTTTAAATTGTGTTTTCAAAAACTAGGGTATGTCAGTGTCATATATGAAGTGTTTCCCTTGGTTATCTTGAGCAAATTGATGCATCTCAATAGGTTCACAAATATGAGTTAAGTTCCCAAAGTTTCCATTACTTACATTTATAGATAAAAATATTATATTGTTTGCAAACTACAAATAAGACTCGGACCAGTTATTCAACTTAGCAAGAATGAAGAATCCCTAAATACCTCTTCTCCTTGG